AGCAGTTCCCCAGCCCCTCCCCGTCTGCACAGCCCCTTACACCAGATGCATCTGCTGGCCTGCAGGCCATAAAAATTCCTTTCGCCATGCCATGGGTGCTGTGCACCAATTTCGGGTGCCACCTGGCACCTTTCCCCTTGCTTTTAATAAAGCTTGTTCCAGCACCTGGTGTTTTGGCTCTCTCTTTAATTTTTATTACCTTCCAGTTATATAAGTCACTTGACGAGAAGGGGATGTGAACAAAGAATGGGCGACCCTGATTCTTTTCTCCCGTTGGGGGCGCCTTTTAGAGAGGAAGGACTACCGGTGGGTGTGGAGCCCTGCTGTGGGTATGCAGTGGGGACAGGGTTGGTTACTGGTGCTGTCTGGGGTGGGGGCGGTGCTGAGGCCCTGGTTTAGAGGACCTTGAGTAGGGTGGAGGTAATTCCTGATCCTTCGCTGGGGAGGGAAATATGGCTGGTGCAGAAGGGGCTGATTTAGGGCCTACCAGCATAACTTGTAGCCCAGCTTGTTTTATGCAGCATTTAAGCCATGAAGGGGGGCTGTTGAACTAAGCCTAGCCACTGGTCAATGTATGGAAACTAATCTGGGTGCCCAGGGGAACCTGTCACCACATTTCATACAGCCTGGGTTACCTTGGAATTATATGTCCCGGAGTCTGGCCACCCCATCTTAAACGATGGCCACTCCAATTTACACAGGGTGTGGAGTTTTTTCAGGGTTAGTTTTACTGCATATTGGCCTGAAAATTTAGCCTTGAAATTGGCCGTCATGCACTGGAGGTGGGTGCAGGGCCAGGAACCAGATGATCCTATCTGTTTTTTTTGTTTGTTTGTTTGTTTTTTAACCTACCAGTTGTTACCTGGACCTGTTTGCTTTTACAGTACTCTCAGTTCTGGAAAGCATTGTACTTGTGCCTTGCCCTTTCCAGCACCAGTTTTAAGTATGCTTCTGTAGCAAGGTTTTGTAAGGAGGGGGCAACAGGCTTGATAGGCCTATCCCTGGCTCGAGGCAAGGAGACGTGCAGAAGCAGCCACAGGTGCAGGTTGATGTTACCCGCGTGGGACCACAGTGGTGAATGGTAAGCTTTTACGAGATTTAAAAAACCCGCTTTGGTAGGATCTTCACTTAGATGTGCCGTGGAGTTCAAGGACTTAGGGAAAAGTTGGAAAGTTACAAAACAAATGAACAAATGGGCCAGCAAATTAACTGGGTGTAAATTTTGAATTCACCATGGCTCATAGAGATCACAAAACCTTTTCCAGTTAGTATCAACTGGTTGATGGCAGTCAGCCTCCCAACACCAGGGAGTCGCCGGGGGCAGAATCGCCTCCCGGACATTTAAAGGAGAAAAGGAGGGGCCTAATGGTGAAAGAGGAAGAGGAAAAGGAAGGAGAATAAAGTTATTTTATTAGGGGCATAAAATCAGTGAAAGTCCCCTGCAACCAATGGTTATTTAACTAATTGAGAACATCGTCTGGCCTTAGTGAGGCAGGCCTAAACCATTGCAGACCAGTCAATAAACACCTTAGAAAACTAGAGAATTTACAGTAAAGACACAACCACATGAGGGGTAGACAGACACAGGTGGGTGTCCCCTGTGGGAGACCAGTCTGATGCCTGCCTGGCCATGTCCCCGAAGGGATATTTCAGAGTGTCTTGGCTAAGGTGTACCTGTATAAACCCTGGGCCTGGTCACTGTAGAGGTGAATCACCATTATGCCCTATAATGTCTCGTGGAACCGCAGGTGAAGGCCCACACTGGTTCCGTAACCCGCCGGCCATGGGACCACACATATGTGCACTCACACTCTCACTTACACTGAGGTTACGGAAGACAACAGAAAACTGAATTACCTGAGCCTCCAGTGACGTCTCACAGTAGGCTTGCCTAGTCAGAGATTGGCTTGTCTAGTCAGAGATTAATGACCGCATCCAGTGTCCTGACTTAGGCTCCTGATGGATCGCTCTGCACTTCCCTTTTCCCCCCACCCCCGATTTCTAGACCTGACTTACCTCCGGAGGTTCCCGGGACCCTGAGGAATTTCAGGTGAATGTCGGCTAGGTAGTTGCGCATCCACCATGGGGCCAGAACTCTGGGGCCCTGGAACGTCTCAGGGGGACGCCTCCCCTAGAGATCCCCAAGGCAGGGATGGCTGCTCAGGCGAGACTCCAGGCATTTTGTCTGAGTGATGATGGACAAATCTCTCTGGGGCCTCCAAATGTTGTAACCAAGCGAGTGTGAAATCACCACTGAGACAGACTAGGCCAAATGACAGGGTCTTTATTGCTAGTGGCCACAGGGGACTCGTGTCTCTCTAACCTGTGGCCCTGAAAGGAGGGTGTCAAGACCTTTTATGCTTGAAAACCACCTCCTGGGTGGGGGTGGGGGCAAGGGCAAGGGGCTTTGGACAGTCCAAGGGCCAGTGGACTTTGGAAATTCTGTAAACCACCTCCTAGGCGGGGGTGAGGGTGAGGGGCTTTTACCATGTCACATTATGAGAATTAACACATAATGTTAGTGTCACAACACAGTGCTCTGTGACATATTACTGAGCACATAGTACATGCTCCATAAACATTGCATTAATGCAGTTGCACGTGTTATTTTTCAAATGCAGACTTACTCTGTTACAGAATATTCAGGAGACCAGAGACCAATGGGTGAAACAGGAGGATTTTATTAAGATGGCCACCGGCTCAGTGGATTAGCATCCCAAGGCTGAGCCCCTAACAAAGATAGGGCTTGACTTTTATACATCCAGGATGACGTAGCCACTAACAGGTTTACAGAAGCCAGAACAAAGAATAGTTAATTTGTGACATGTCTTGTGATGTACGTTACATTTGAAAATAGCATTTTGAGCCTTTCCACGCTATCTGCCGAGGGCTCCAAACGGCGTTGTTCTGGATTCCTGTAACTTAAAGGGAAACTTTCACAATGTCCGGAGCCCTTGATGTCCTGCAAATGAAGGAGGAGGATGTCCTTAAGTTCCTGGCAGCAGGAACCCATTTAGGTGGCACCAACCTTGACTTCCAGATGGAACAGTATATCTATAAAAGGAAAAGTGATGGCATCTACATCATAAATCTGAAGAGGACCTGGGAGAAGCTTCTACTGGCAGCTCGTGCCATTGTTGCCATTGAAAACCCTGCTGATGTCAGTGCTATATCACCCAGGAATACTGGCCAGAGGGTCGTGCTGAAGTTTGCTGCTGCCACTGGAGCCACTCCAATTGCTGGCCACTTTACTCCTGGAACCTTCAACCAGATCCAGGCAGCCTTCCGGGAGCCACGGCTGCTTGTGGTTACTGACCCAAGGGCTGACCACCAGCCTCTCACGGAGGCGTCTTATGTTAACCTACCTACCATTACTCTGTGTAACACAGATTCTCCTCTACGCTATGTGGACATTGCCATCCCATGCAACAACAAAGGAGCTCACTCAGTGGGTTTGATGTGGTGGATGCTGGCTCGGGAAGTTTTGCACATGCGTGGCACCATTTCCTGTGAACACCCGTGGGAGGTCATGCCTGATCTCTACTTCTACAGAGATCCTGAAGAGATTGAAAAAGAAGAGCAGGCTGCTGCTGAAAAGGCTGTGACCAAGGAGGAATTTCAGGGTGAATGGACTGCTCCAGCTCCTGAGTTCACTGTGACTCAGCCTGAGGTTGCCAACTGGTCTGAAGGCGTGCAGGTGCCCTCTGTGCCTATCCAGCAGTTCCCTACTGAAGACTGGAGCACCCAGCCTGCCACGGAAGACTGGTCTGCAGCTCCCAGTGCTCAGGCCACTGAATGGGTAGGAGCAACCACTGAATGGTCTTAAGCTGTTCTTGTGTGGGCTCTTGAACAACATATAAGATTCATGGAAAATAAACATCAAGTTTCTAAAAAAAAAAAAAAAAAAAAAAAGAAAAGAAAAGAAAGAAAATAGCATTTTGAGAAGCACATTGCACATTCTTTGGATGTTATCTTGCCCTGTGACCTTGCTGCTGGTCTGCAAGAAAAACAGGAGTCTTGAGATGCTTGGGAACTTTGCTGAGAATATAGGGAGAATAGATAAGGTAGATTTTACAGGAGTTAGTAAATTTCAAGCAGAGCTGGGGGTTAGGTTTTATAGTGAACACAACACAGTAAACTTTATTATGCAGCAATTACAGACTACTATTGTTATTATTTAATTTTTCTCTTCAACTCAGACATTGACACCATCTCCAGCCTCTGTAAACTTTAAAGGGCCTGGAGAGAATGCCATGCTTCAGGACGATGATTGGTGATCTTGTCTTCGGATGAAAAGTATCTGTGTTGTGATAAGGGTGTTGGTGTAAGGGACTCTGTGTGCTGTGCCTGCTTTCTATAGCTGAGTGGTACTATAATGGTTCTAGGAGGAGGAACATGAGCATTAACAGGAGACTTAACTATAAGAAGCTAATTCATGGACTCTTTTCAAACCTGCAAAATTTTGTTATGGTAAAGCCTAGAATATCAAATAATTTACATGTGCATTGAAGCTTGAAAGGCAGTGCTTAGCTAAGTGACTGTCAGCCCAGGCTTCCAGTAGGATCTCATGCACAATTTGAAGAGAAATCATCACCTGGGGCCTTCCCCACAGATCCTGTCTGTTGTTCTGGGTGGAAACATTTCTGTTTTTGAAATTAAGTTTCTCACAAATTACAGCGAGGCCAAGGTCAAGCATGAGGCCTTCCAGATACTTTAATGAGAGGTGAGTTCAGCCTGCTTTCCAGGAGGTCACAGGGCTTACTCTGCTTGGTTTTGGTAGGCGCATGTCAGTGTAGCCCATATTTTTATTGCAGCAACAGAAAATGTTGGAATGCCTTCCTTTTTCTGCAGAGCTATAGAATACTTTAGAGAACATTACTGTGTTGAAAGTTATTTAAGCAGATAATCCTACTCAGTCACGTGTCAGAACTAGTTCTCTCAATTCATTTCACCTGTAGTCAAATTAAGACCTCTGTCACTTGATACATATGTATTTTCAGGAACTCTTAACATTCAGGGATGTGGCCATAGAATTCTCTCCAGAAGAGTGGAAATGCCTGGACCCTACCCAGCAGAATTTATATAGAGATGTAATGTTGGAGAACTATAGAAACCTGGTCTCCCTGGGTGAGGTTAACTTTGATGCATAATTCCTAATACTCCTTCAGAGTTTTATTTTCTATTTTTGTAGAATGTCTTCTTGGGAACTTCTGCTTTATATGGATTAATTTCAGTTTCTTTCTTCAATAAACTGTTGGGAATTTGCTGGTGTAAAAAAGAGTATCTTGGGCAGGCACGGTGGCTCATACCTGTAATCCCAGCACTTTAGGAGGCCGAGGTGGGTGGATCATGAGGTCAGGAGATTGAGACCATCCTAGCTAACACGGTGAAACGCTGTCTCCACTAAAAATACAAAAAATTAGCCGGGGATGCGCCGGTAGTCCCAGCTACTCAGGAGCCGGAGGCAGGAGAATCACTTGAACCCAGTGAGCCAAGATCATGCCACTGCACTCCAGCCTGGGTGACAAAGCAAGACTCTGTCTCAAAAAAAAAAAAGAATATCTTTAAGATGTTTCATCTTTACATAAACCTTCTCTTTTTTTGAACTAATTTATGTCTTCCACTCTAGGTTAGTGGCAATTCTAGAAATTCAATTACATGAAATATTGTTTTCCACATCTTAAAATCCAATTTGCACCACTTATTTTGATTCAGTAGTATTTGGTAGTGAAACCTGCAGATTTAAAATACTTAAATATTTTAAAGATTCTGTCAGGAAACGATTTTTGGATTAATTTTCTAGGATCTTCCATAATTTCTCTTTTCTGCTTCACATAGTACTAGGTTGGTAATTGGAGAATCCCTAACAATAGTCATGATAACTTTTTAAAATAAAACAGGTGTTGCTATCTCTAACCCAGACCTGGTCACCTGTCTGGAGCAAAGAAAAGAGCCCTTCAATGTAAAGATACATGAGGCAGTAGCCAGACCCCCAGGTAGGTGACAGTGAATGAAGGAGAGGACACAGGCAAGGGGACCAAGATCAAGAAGGAAGCCAGGCCTTTAAAGGTAGTTTGGGAAGCTGTGCTTCAGTGGAAATAATTTCTGAAAAGGCTGCATTTTTTCCCCATATTCATGAATAGGGGCAATTTCTGTCCCATGCTGTTAAATCTTCTAAGAATTCTCTTTTTAGTGATCTCCCTTAAAGTTTACAGGGAAAGCCAATGTCCACTTTATCACTTATAAGGGGGCTGCATGATCTGACTGCTGTTCCATTGCTTTTGAAGACATAGCAATATTTGTATATTGAGGAGATCTAGGTCAAAGTATTTTTTTTCAAATACTCTTTTTGTATCATGTCTAAAATGTGTAAAGTGAGGAGTGGACATACTGGAATTTGGTTCAGAAATTCTAGGAATACCAGGGACAGATGTTGTATCTTTTCTGCTTAGTGATTTTTAATCTTATAGAGGTTGCAAATATAATTCTACAAAAATTCTTATTCAGCAATTTTATCAGAACAATAAGCATTTTCCTAAATATGAAAAAATGTAATATTACTTCAAAATGTTATTGTTTTAGTATAAATGGAGATTTGTGATTTAAACTCTATATGTGCAAATTTTCTAATTTTAATATAGTTTAAAGCACAGATTTCCAACCTTTTGGCTTCCCTGGGCCACACTGGAAGAATTGTCTTGAGCCACACATAAAATACATTAATAATAATGTTAGCTGATGAGCTTAAAAAAAAAAGGTTCATGAATAATTTTGTTATATCTACCATCATGGATAAGGGTTGGACACCACTGGATAAAGTATCTGCTCACCTTCTAGATTTCTTAAATGCGCTATGTGATTAACCAAGCAAGAACCTTGCTAAGTGTATATTAGGCTCTCAGTCGTTACGTTATTTCTTTTTTTTTTTTTTTTTTTAAATTATCTTTCACTTTTACTGAGTTCAATGCATAAAGTGATCATTATTATAAGTTTAAAATATGTTCATATTTTTGTATGTATACATGTAATTATTAGTATTACAAACTCAGGAAGAAAAATTAACAGGTATTTTATTTCAGGATGGCAGTCAACTCACAAAGCTATATTGTATTCTAATAATCACAAGTGTTATACCATTATAGTCAAAATAAACACCTCAGCAAGTTGTCAAAATTTCAAAAAATAAAAGGGATAAGCTAACAAAAAATATTCAAGTAGTTACATTGAAAGACATCATTTTGTTAAGCTGACATCATCTTGTTTCATACAAAAAGAAACTAACATATTTAAAATCAAAGCTTTCAAATTTTGTGTTCCAATTTTTAATCACCAACAATTCCATAATTAACTCTACTTCATTCATTCACCCCAAAATAATAATCATTAAGGAAGCCAAATGACCATCATTTTCCTTTTCCTCATTTTACCAAATTAATTTTATAGCCGAAAGGAATTTTAACAATATACAGCAAATTATCACTTGATCTAATAAATGCGGAAAATCAGAGGTCAAAGGACTTGAATGAATTCCACAGCTCTTCAGCAACGAAGCCAAAATTAGATTTGTCTCTCCTGAAACATAGTCCTATTTTTCTTGGCAATCCATTGCTAGAGTTAATGTTTCCTAAAGAAATAGTGGGCCTAAACCATTTAAATTATACTTCAAAATGAGCTTTATCAACTGCCAGATACAAATCTGGCCATTACAGTTTGTAAAGGATCACTGATGCCCCTGCTTAGTCACCTGCTTTTATCTAGTCAGTTTTATCTGTCTTTGCTGTTACAGCTGTGATTGTTTGTCTTAGAAATTCATAGAACATATATAAATTTAGAACATAAATTATGTTCTGTGAAATATATGTTCAGTGCACAATATAGTCAACAGTTTAATAAATCTCGTTTATCATTTAAAACAATTTTTATCTAAGAGGTTCACAAATTTTAAAAATTATCCCAGGTAATTTGTTTCTAAGAAAAAAAATATTGTCTCATGTGATTATTTCTTGCCTGATATCAATAGATTTGAATCTGTCAGAACTTTCTGCATGCTGTGAAACTACTAGGTTTTTTTTATCCCCCCTGAGTCTTTTTTTAATACAAGAAGTACTAGTATGAACAGAACTTCCACTTAAAGAATCTGGGTTACCTTTAAAAATTCTCCTAGTCTACTTTTATAACTCTTTTCAAAAACTGAGTCGTAGAAATGGAGGAGACTGTTTTTCACTCTTAAGCTTATTTATATCTGAATCATTTTAGTCGCAGGAGATGCTTTCCTCCCTGAAAAAAAATCCGATGTCTTCTCTTGGTACCTAATTCCATCATTTAGTTGGCTTCATGGCCAATCAAATTTGTATCTTCTCATAAAACTGATTAAACTATTTACTTGGATCAGAACCTCTATTTCTGGAGAGGACAGAGTCATTTAGAAGTCTGGTGCCGTGATCTAACAGCACGTAATATCCTGGAATAAAGATCTAGTAGGAATAAAAAAAGATCTAGTAGGAAGATCTTTCTTTTATCAGTATGCTTGTTCTTTCGATAAACATCTATTGATCACCTTAATAGGGATACTGACATATGATACCATTTGGATACAAAGTTAGGAAAATAAGGAAATACATTCAGTTTGCTTATCATACATAAAGATAATTTGGAAAGGGTCACAATAACAACAGCAAAAAACATGTCCTTGGTGTATGTGTAGGGGAGGAAAACAGTAGATGGGAGGCAGAACTATGATAAGGGCACTTCCTGAATCATGTAAGTGTGTTACATATTCAAAAATACAATAAATGGAATTAAAAATAAAGTCAGTAGCCTCTTTTTTTCTTTTTCTTTTTTTTTTTTTTTTTTTTGAGACAGGGCCTCGCTCTGTCACCCAGACTGAAGTACAGTGGTTCTGTCTTGGCTCACTGCAACCTCTGCCTCTTGGGCTCAAGCAATTCTCCTGCCTCAGCCTCCCAAGTAGCTGGGACCACAGGCACGGACCACAGGCACGGACCACCAGGCCTGGCTAATTTTTTTTGTAGTGACAGGTTTTCGCTATGTAGCCCAGGCTGGTCTTGAACTCCTGAACTCAAGCAATCCACCTGCCTTGGCATCTCAAAGTGCTGGGATTACAGGTGCTAGCCACCATGCCTGGATGATACACTCTTTTCAGTTATTATACTTTAAGTTCTGGGGTACATGTGCAGAACGTGCAGGTTTGTTACACAGGTATACACGTGCCATGGTGGTTTGCTGCACCCATCAACCCATCATCTACATTATGTGTTTCTCCTAATGCTATCCCTCCCCTAACCCCCCAGAGACAGGGTCCCGCTATATTTGACCAGGCTGAACTGAACTCCTGGCCTCAAGCAAAAGTTAACTTCTATGTATAAAATTATTAAACAGTTTTAATCTCTTCAACACACTATGTCACACTTTACATCTTTTTATATTATATACTATTAACAGATTATTGAAGCTATATGCTTTATTCACTCCTTCACTTTTTAAAAAATTATAATTAGGAACTTTCAAATGACTTTTTTTGAGACTGAGTCTTGCTCTGTAGCCTAGGCTGGAGTGCAGTGGTGCGATCTTGGCACATTACAACCTCCGCCTCCCAGGTTCAAGCAATTCTCCTGCCTCAGTCTCCTGAGTAGCTGGGATTACAAGCTCCTGCCACCATGCCTGGCTAATTTTTGTATTTTTAGTAGAGATGGGGTTTCGTCGTGTCGGCTAGGCTGGTTTCGAACTCCTGGCCTCAGGTGATTCACCCACCTTGGCCTCCCAAAGTGCTGGGATTACAGGCATGAGCCACTGCATCCGGCCTCAAATAACTTTTTAAGTTTGCTGATTTTTTCCCCCTGTATAAACGAGCCTCCTGTTAAAGCTTTCTGTTAAATGTTTTAGTTCTACTGTTGTGTACTTCAGCTTCAGCATATCTCCTTGGTTGCTTTTTAATGGTTACCTTTCTTTATTATAATTAATTTTCCTCATGCATTGTTGCAAAAAATTTGTTAATCTGTGTACTTTTGCATCTTATCAACATTTTTTAAGATAATTATTTTGAATTCTCTGTTAGCCATTTTTTTTTTTTATTATTATACTTTAAGTTCTGAGATACATGTGCAAAACATGCAGGTTCGTTACATAGGTATACACATGCCATGGTGGTTTGCTGCACCCATCAACCCGTCATTTACATTAGGTATTCCTCCTAATGCTATCCCTCCCCACCCCCACCCCCTTACAGGTCCTGGTGTGTGATGTTCCCCTTCCTGTGTCCAGATATTCTCATTGTTCAACTCCCACTTACGAGTGAGAACACGTGGTGTTTGGTTTTCTGTCCTTGTGTTAGTTTGCTGAGAATGATGGTTTCCAGCTTCATCCTTGTTCCTGCAAAGGACATGAACTCATTCTTTTTTATGCCTGCATAGTATTCCATGGTGTATATGTGCCACATTTTCTTTATCCAGTTAGTCATTGATGGGCATTTGGGTTGGTTCCAAGTGTTTGCTATTGTGAACAGTGCTACAATACATATGTGTGCATGTGTCTTTGTAGTAGAATGATTTAGAATCCTTTGGGTATATACCCAGTAATGGGATTGCTGGGTCAGATAGTATTTCTGGTTCTAAATCCTTGAGAAGTCGCCACACTGTCTTCCACAATGGTTGAACTAATTCATACTCCCATCAACAGTATAAAAGCATTTTTATTTCTCCGCATCCTCCTCAGCATCTGTTGTTTCCTGACTTTTTAATGATCACCATTCAAACTGGTATGATACAGTGTCTCAATGTGGTTTTGATTTGCATTTCTCTAATGACCAGTGATGATAAGATTTTTTTTTCCACATTTGTTGGCCGCATAAATGTCTTCTTTTGAGAAGTGTCTGCTCATTTCCTTCACCCACTTTTTGATGGGGTTGTTTTTTTCTTGTAAATTTGTTTAAGTTCTTTGTAGATTCTGGATATTAGCCCTTTATCAGATGGATAGATTGCAAAATTTTTTTCCCATTCTGTAGGTTGCCTGTTCACTCTAATGATTGTTTCTTTTGCTGTGCAGAAGCTCTTTAGTTTAATTAGGTCTCATTTGTCAATTTTGGCTTTTGTTGCCATTGCTTTTGGTGTTTTAGTCATGAAGCCTTTGCTCGTGCCTATGTCCTGAATGGTATTGCCTAGGTTTTCTTCTAGGCAATACCATTTTTTTGGTGTTAGGTCTTACGTTTAAGTCTAATGCATCTTGAGTTAATTTTGGATAAGGTGTAAGGAAGGGGTCCAGTTTCAGTTTTCTGCATATAGCTAGCCAGTTTTCCCACCATTTATTAAATAGGGAATCCTTTCCCCATTTCTTGTTTTTGTCAGGTTTGTCAAAGATCAGATGGTTGTAGGTGTGTGGTTTTATTTCTGAGGCCTCTGTTCTGTTGGTCTACATATCTGTTTTGGTACCAGTACCATGCTGTTTTGGCTACTGTAGCCTTGTAGTATAGTTTGAAGTCAGGTAGTGTGATGCCTCCAGCTTTGTTCTTTTTGCTTAGGATTGTTTTGGCTATGCGGGCTCTTTTTTGGTTCCATATGAAATTTAAAGTAGTTTTTTCTAATTCCGTGAAAAAAGTCAATGGTAGCTTGATGGGAATAGCATTGAATCTATATATTACTTTGGGCAGTATGGCCATTTTCATGATACTGATTCTTCCTATTCATGAGCACAAAATGTTTCTTCATTTGTTTGTGTTCTCTCTTATTTCTTTGAGCAGTGGTTTCTAGTTCTCCTTGAAGAGGTCCTTCACGTTCCTTGTAAGTTGTATTGCTAGGTATTTTATTCTGTTTGTAGCAATTGTGAATGGGAGTTCACTCATGATTTGGCTCTGTTTGTCTATTATTGGTATATAGGAATGCTTGTGATTTTTGTATATTGATTTTGTATCTTGAGACTTTGCTGAAGTTGCTTCTCAGCTTAAGGAGATTTTGGGCTGAGATGATGGGGCTTTCTAAATATATAATCATGTCATCTGCAAACAGAAACAATTTGACTTCCTGTCCTTTTATTAGAATACCCTTTCTTTCTTTCTCTTGCCTGACTGCCCTGGCCAGAACTTCCAATACTATGTTGAATAGGAGTGGTGAGAGAGGGCATCCTTGACTTGTTCTGGTATTCAAAGGGAATGCTTCCTGCTTTTGCCCATTCAGCATGATATTGGCTGTGGGTCTGTCATAAATAGCTTTTATTATTTTTGAGATACATTCCATCAATATGTAGTTTATTGAGAATTTTTAGCACAAAGGGGTGTTGAATTTCATCAAAGGCCTTTTCTTCATGTATTATAATAGATAATTATGTGGTTTTTGTCATTGGTTCTGTTTATGTGATGGATTACGTTTATGGATTTGTGTATGTTGAACCAGGCTTTCAGGGATGAAGCTGAGTTTATCATGGTGCATAAGCTTTTTGATGTGCTGCTGCTAGATTCATTCGGTGTGCCAGTATTTTATTGAGGGTTTTCACATTGGTGTTGATCAGGGATACTGGCCTGAAATTTTCTTCTTTTGTTGTGTCTTTGCCAGGTTTTGGTGTCAGGATGATGCTGGCCTCATAAAATGAGTTAGGGAGGAGTCCTTCTTTTTCTGTTGTTTCGAATAGTTTCAGAAGGAATGGTACCAGCTCCTCTTTGTACCTCTGGTAGAATTTGGCTGTGAATCCATGTGGTCCTGGGCTTTTTTTGGCTGGTAGGCTATTAATTACTGCCTCAATTTCAGAACTTGTTATTGATCTGTACAGGGATTCGCCTTCTTCCTGATTTAGTCTTGGGAAGGTGTTTGTGTCCAGGAATTTATCCATTTCCTCTAGATTTTCTAGTTTATTTGCATAGAGGTGTTTATGGTATTCTCTGATGGTAGTTTGTATTTCTGTTGGATTAGTGGTGATATCCCCTTTACCATTTTTTATTGTGCCTATTTGATTCTTCTCTCTTTTCTTCTTTATTAGTCTGGCTAGTGGTCTATCTATTTTGTTGATCTTTTCAAAAAACCAGCTCCTGGATTCGTTGATTTTTTTTGAAGGGTTTTTCATGTCTCGTATCTCCTTCAGCTCTGTTTAGTCCTGGTCTTAGTTATTTCTTGTCTTCTGCTAGCTTTTGAATTTGTTTGCTCTTGCTTCTCTAGTTCTTTTAATTGTGATGATATGGTGTCAATTTTAGATCTTTCCTGCTTTCTCTTGTGGGCATTTAGTGCTATAAATTTCCCTCTAAAGACTACTTTGGCTGTGTCCCAGATTCTGGTACATCGTATCTTTGTTTTCATTGTTTTCAAATAATTTATTTATTTCTGCTTTAATTTTGTTATTTACCCAGTAGTCATTCAGGAGCAGGTTGTTCAGTTTCCATGTAGTTGTGCGGTTTTGAGTGAGTTTCTTAATCGTTAGTTCTAATTTGATTGCACTGTGGTCTGAGAGACTGTGTTACGATTTCTGGGTTTTTTTTGCATTTGCTGAGGAGTGTTTTACTTCCAATTATGTGGTCAATTTTAGAATAAGTGCGATGTGGTGCTGAGAAGAATATATATTCGGTTGATTTGAGGTAGAGAGTTCTGTAGATGTCTTTTAAGTTCATTTGGTCCAGAGCTGAGTTCAAGTTCTGAATATCCTTGTTAATTTTCTGTCTTGTCGATCAGTCTGATATTGACTGTGGAGTGTTAAAGTCTCCTGCTATTATTTTGTGAGAGTCTAAGTCTCTTTGTAAGTCTCTAAGAACTTGCTTTATGAACCTGGGTGCTCCTGTATTGGGTACCTATGTATTTAGGATAGTTATCTCTTCTTGTTGCATTGATTCCTTTACCATTATGTAATAACCTTCTTTTTTTGATCTTTGTTGGTTTAAAGTCTGTTTTTATCAGAGACTAGGATTGCAACCCTTGCTTTTTTTTTTTCCTTGCATTTGATTGGTAAATGTTCCTCCATTTTTTTTTTTTTTTTTTTTTTTTTTTTTTT